AGTGCTAGTGAGAAGTTAGTCTGATCGAATCATCTGCCTCTATTGCACCGCAATTGACCCTTACGTTTGTGGAACTTTATTTAAATTAATTCATTACCCATTGGGTCCTGATTTTGCAACTCAGTATAAGTGCTGGTGAGAATTTAGTCTGACCAAATAGTCTGACTTTGTGCATTGCAATTAACCCTTTAGTGTGGTCACTTGGGGTTTGACCAATATACTAACTAAGCATCAATGCTATGGGAGGATCTATGCTTGTCTTACAAGACTGCACATGTAATTTGGGAGGAAGACTCCAACTTTAAAAATTTTGGGAATGTACATGCATACCACCCAATTCCTGTGTATTTACACATCTAGCACCTAAACTTTATTTTTTACATTTATACCCATAATTTTCATATCATATCAAAAAATACCACCATTTTAACTTTTAAAACATTAAACACTCCTTTGCATATATAGGTAAAGTCATATGTATGTAAAAATTGAAGCTTAGGTGTTAGATATGTAAATACATAGGAATTGAGTGGTATGTATGCTAATCTTACTAAAAAAATTGGTCACTTGTATGAATAACAAGGCCATGTTTATGATCTCAAATAAGCATAAGAATATGAGGTACTTCGCCACAAAAAAAAAAAAAAAAAAAAAGGGAGAAGCTAGAATTGGATAACTTTCGGGCTAAATGATTAGTGTAGGGTATGTGCCAGCAAATACATCAAAATTTTTGGGGAAAATAAGAACTTAAGATATTTTAACAGGCCTCAATGATGATAAAGTTTGTGGTAGAGGCAATTTGTCCACTTCATAAAATTCTAAAGCATTTGTTGAAGCTAAAAGGGGACAATGCAAATGAAGAATGATGTTTAGGATACCATGAATGCTCTCATAATTGAAGAACCTATTCTTCCCACCAGAAATATGGAATAAAATCTAAGACATAACTAAAGGCGTAGTAGATGTATTCTTTGGTGTATTGTTTGTAAAAAATCTAATGATACAACAAAAAACTATTAGAAACTTCTTGAATAGCTAGCAAATTGAAGCAATTTTGGAAAGCAATGCAAAGGCACTTCCAATTATCAAACTAAAACTAAGGAATTGATGATGAAAATTGGGGAAACTTGGCAACTTATACCTTGTTGCTTTTTGGCCCGAGAGTTTGGAATTATTAAGGCGATGACAGACAGTTATACTGTAGAGAAATATTGTTCTAATTTTTACGACAATTCAAAATAACATCCAAATAATTACAAGCCACTAAACATTGTTATTTTTATATCATAGCCAACTCACATTCATAAATATTAAGGTTACGAGAAGAATTTAGTAATTTAGCCTAAAATAAAGTACATTATATTTTTGGTATATATTTGCATTTTTTTCTTTTTTTGTATATAAATTATGTTACTAGCCAACAAATTTATATGACTTTTTTTCTACAGTGAAAATGAAAGCACATGTTAAGTTATATTGTAACTTAGCGAATAATTAAAATTCCATAATATACTAATTTCTATGCATATGTTCTAACATCTATGCAGGCCAAAATAATTAAATATTAATATTTTACTTTGTTAGAAATTTTTAAATATTTATATTTATTATTTCATTTAAGAAGTCATCTTAGGAACACTGTTTAAAATATTATATCACGTAGATTTTGAGAATATGACATAATAGTTTTATTGATATGAAAGGGAGTATAAATATAGGTTACGTGAATTGTAAAATAGAAACGACATAATACCCATATCTTCAAGATTAAAATTAATCAATTCTTGATAACTATATGGAGATAAAAGGAAAGACATTAAATAGGAAATAACTTGAATGAAAATAAATTAATATTAATAAATTCTAACATAACATAGGAAATAACCGGAAAAGAAAAAAAATCAATACTAATAACTTCTAACACTCCCCCTCAAGTTAAAACATAGATGTCAATCATATTCAACTTAGATTTGAAATCATCAAACAATTGGCGATGAAGATATTTTGTAGGTAGAACTTGAGTTTTCATCCCCAAAGCATTTAGGAGTACTTCTAGTTGACTGTGGTTGTCTTTGATTGTAGTTTCTATAGTGCATGTAGGTAGCTGCAAGACTATTGCAGGTAATGTTGTAGGGAAGTAGGGAAATTTGCAGAAAAGTACACAAGCTACAGGGAAAACTGCAGGATATGGATTGCAAGGAAAAAAAAACTTTGGAGGGTCAGCCGCAAGAAAAAGATTTGAAGGAGGTTTTGTAGCAGGAGAAACCTTCAGAGTGGGGTTTTGCTATAGGAAAAAGCTCAAAACTCTGAAGGAGTCTACAAAATGGAGAATTTTGTAGGTAGGTGGAAGGCTGCTGCAAGTAAGTGCTACGAAATGGGTCTGTAGGGAGAAATCCGGTTGAGGAAGTTTCCTTTGCCTGCAGAGAATAGTTTCTGACTTTGATGGCTGCAAGGTAAAGCTCTGGAGGAGGCTTGCTACAAGGGAAAAAAAAACCCGGCGAAGGGCCTGCAGCAGGAAAAGATCTGGTAAGGGTCTGCAACCACCTGCGGCAGAAAAACGATATGAATTGTTGTTCGATATGGCTGTAATGGCAGCATTGGTCATTATCTGACTGAAATGGAGAATTCATTGGAGTTTCTCGGAGATTGCTACCAATCTAACATCTAATATGGAACCCTCTGAGTCCTCTGTGGCATTTAAAGGAAACACACTAAGCTTCTTGAGGTTTTTACAAATTGCAGCAATCATTTGAAGACCCTAGTCACGCACCAAATTTAGAACCCAGAAAGTTTGAAGATTGTAACAACAACTAATGACTAGTTTGAGCTAATCAGTGGTGATTGGGGGGATTGGGAAACCATAAAGGCTGACTTGAGAGTTCCTAAAATCACCTCCTTTGAAGGAAAAGAATAAGTCGGTGCCAAGATGAGTGAGCTGCAGTGCTCAGACCAAGAGACGGTCGACAGAGACGTGCTCATTGACTCTTAGTCTTCTGAGAGAAGGACATCGGGCCACAAGAGCTTCAAGAGCTTCAAGGTTCATAGCATAGCCAATTCAATTGAATACCAGGGACTCGATGCAAGTCTTCCCTGGTAGAAAGCATGACACCCAATCCACCACCCCCTCATCGTCGTCCTCAACATCATTGTCTATTTGATCTAGAGATCGGAGACACTTGCATCTCTCTGCTATGACGGCGAGATCGGTCGTGGTGAATTTGTTACAGCAAAAAGGTGGCAGGTCCCAAAAGGATGTTGTTAGGATCACGAAATTGGCAGCAAAAATAGTCATTCGCTTGAGCCAAACTCTCTCGAGCGAGGGATAAGATGAAACCATGGCGACGATAGGCTGACGGGTAGCAGTTATCGATCGAGCCGAGTTTGGACCTCAGCGCGAAAATAAGGCTTGTGGACGAGGGAAGCTGCTTTTCGATCACTATGAGAGGTCATGAAGCACAACACATTCTTGAGGGCATCTTGAGAATTTGGTCCGAGAACAGCGGCGACTGGCCAATGGGAGTAAAGGTGGGCCAATACTTTGGCTGAGTAGTTCCGAAGGGATTTAAGGGCCATCGATCGTCATCACGGTCATTACAGTCGCCATTATCCAGGAGCTACTTGAAGGTTGTTGTTAGTTGCAGATCTAAGCTTTGCTAGCCTAAGGCATTTGCTTGCTGTGGAGATGAGGAATCCCAGACTTTGCTAGCTGTTGTTTGCTGCAGAAGATGAGGTTTGCAGGCTACACCTGTTGGCTATGGGGAGCGGGTGTTTTGTTTCTCGGGAAGTTCTCCTATGGGAACTTTTGTTGGCGGCTTCTGTGGGAGCGGCTATTCTATTGCCCAGGAAGTAGCTCTCCTACGGGAACTTCTGTTGGCTGGTCTTGCAGCTGTTTTGTTTCCTGGGAAGTAGTTCTGCTATGAAAACTCTGTTGGCTACGGGAAAGGGCAGTAATCCTGCGGATGATCTGCAGGTTACAGGAGGGAGATAAAGTGGCTGAGGAGGGCCTGCCCGGAGTAGGAAGTTTCTGGCGGCAGGAGAACTTTTCCTCTTCCGGAAACTCTAGGGCTTATTTCAAAGCTTTGATACCATCTAGGTTTTGAGAATATAGTAGAATAATTTTATTGATACGAAAGGTGATACAAATACAGGCTACATGATTTCTAAAATAAGAAAAATATTACACCCATATCTCCAAGATTACAATTGATCACGGAGATATAAGGAAAAACATAAAATAGAAAATAACCGGAAAGAAAATAATTCAATATTAATAAATTTTAATATAAAATAAGAAATAACCTGAAATGAAATAAATCAATACTAATAACTTCTAACATATCATAATATCATTTAAGATACATTCAATTCCTTTTTTTTTTGGGTATTTTATTTAATTTCAAGTGTGTGGGTACAATAATGTCCTGAACTAGTATCATAAAGGAATAACTCTTTCGATTGATTTATACATTTATTTCATTTGATTCTTATATGTCATACTTTCGATGTCAATGCCATGCATGGAATATGTTTGAAACATATTATAAGGTTTATCTGATTAAAATGAAATAGATTTTTAATTAATTTTATCATGGACTATCATGATATGAACATTTCAAGAAAACCTCATCCTTCTTTTTGTTTTTTTGGTGTAATCCTTGTATTTTTATTTTTTTCCCACCAGTGTATTGGTTTATTTTCTACCATGTTTTCGCCATTCTAAATGCCTAAATCATGCATGTTTATGTTGTACCTTCTGTTTTTCAATAAATTTATTTCCAGTCTCTTTTGCATATTCATTTCTCTATCTAGTTTTATTTATGTTCATTTGTCATTGAAGCAACAAAGGATAGGCGATGCTGAATTTAAAATTTTTTTTGAACAGATTCCATTCTGTAAGAGTAATAATAGCAAAAATTTTCCTTGTTTTCATCTCCAATTCACTGTATTGCCTCTTTAAATTTCAAGCTTTCAGCTCCTTTATCCTTGCATTTTGTGTGCAGGACTTGATAGCTGATTTTGAAGTTTCCGAGGGGATCTACTCGAGGGCTCGAATTGAAGACTCTAATTCTGTTTGTCTTTGGTTGGGAGCCAATGTCATGCTGGAATATTCTTGTGAAGAGGTTTGCTTCCTATATTTTCTACTTGAATAGTATCTTTCATTTTATGTTTAAATTTTATGCAGTTTAATACTATTCTACTCGAGTCATTGCAGGCCAACGAACTTTTGAAGAAGAACTTGGAAAATGCCAAAGCCAGTTTAGAGGTTCTAATTGCTGATTTGCAGTTCCTAAGGGACCAAGTAACTATAACTCAGGTACAATAAGCTTAACTTTGATTAAATTTGTAATTTTAGGCCCCTGTACAAATCATTCCTATATCTCAATATATAGTTCAAGCAATTTTATGAACTACATTGAGAGTATTTATCATATCACGAAGACTACATTATTGAGAATCTAATTTGGAATCTGAATATATCACTATGATCTTTTTTTGGGAGAAAAGTTCCAACTTCAAAACAACCGAGTGTCCTGAGGATATTTAACATTTGGTAAACTCTAAAATAGTGAGCTCAATAAAATGGCTCTACAAAAATATAGGTTTTTTTACATACATACCACCCAATTCTTCTGTATTTATATACCTAACACCTAAACTTTAATTTTTATATTTATACCATCCAAATCTTTCATATCACATGAAAACACCACCATTTTAACTTAAAAAAAGTGGAATACCCCTTTTCATGCTTAGGGAAGGCAAAAATTGAATTTTAGGTAAATACATGAGAATGGAGTGAAATGCATGTAATTCTTCTATATATTAAACAAACAGGGCTAATTCGAGCAGTGGTTAACTTGCCTCTAGTTGATAGGAAGGTCATGGGCTTGTTAAATCATTTCATTCAATTACAAAAAGTTAGTATAGAGTAAAATGTGAGAGAAAAAGAGTGAAGCCAGAGTGAAGAGATGGAAATTTTAGAGAGAAAGTGATGGCCGCTCAAAATTCATTTCATTCAATTACAATAATAAGCCATCAACGTCGGATATAAGTCCTGATAGAGAATGGTGTTTATCAATTCTGAGTCATAAAACCAGCCTCTATGTTGTAGTATTACTCCATCATTGTATTTGTGTGAGCTTGCTATGGGTACAACAACAACAACAATAAGCATTTATTCCACTAAGTGGGGTCAGTTACATGAATCATTTTTCTCCGTTGATTCTTATTGGCTGTCATATTTTTATTTAATTCCGATAGATTAATATGATTTTCGATAAAATATGCTCAAGTCTTTTTAGATCTACCTCTGTATTTCATAACTCAAATCTATAATATCTACTCTCCTAACCGAATCATTAGATGGTCGTCGACGTTTAATGTAACCAAATCATCTAAGGCGGTATTCTTTAATCTTGTATGTCACTGGAGCTACACCAACACTTTCATGGATAGATTCATCTTGCATTTTGTCTCTAAGCGTCAAGCCACTCATCCACTTAAGCATTCTCATCTCAGCAGCACTTAAGTCTATTTTATACTTCTCTTTTAAAGGCCAACATTTCACGCCATAAAGCATTGCAGGTCTCACCACCATATTATAAAATTTTTCTTTTAAATCTAAGGAGCACTTTTCTATCACACAATATGTCTGATGCATTCCTCCACTTCAACCAACCAACTCGCACTCTGCTAGTAACATCCTCATCTATATCACCATCACTTTGAACAATAGACTCGAGATATATAAACCATTCATACCTTTTAATGATTTGATCATCCATAGTTACAACTATGTCGCTATAGCTACTACTACTTAAATTACATTTTCTTAGTTTTAGATCTATTGAAACGAAGTCCTTTGGACTCCAATGCAGACCTCCATAAATTATGTTTTTTTCTTGAACCATTTCTCTAGTCATATCCACAAGAAGAGTGTCTTCAACGAAAAGCATACACAAAGGTACATCCTCCTCTAAATGTCCAGCAAGAGCATCCATAACTGAAGTAAAAAGATGTGGGTTAAAAGCCGAACCCTGATGTTATCCAACTGAAATAGGAAAATACTTGATCAATCCTCCTTCTGTTTGAACACAAGTAAGAACTCTAGTATGCATATCCTTAATGACTTGAATATAAGCCATATCAATACATTTATTTTCTATAACTGTCCAAAAAACTTCTCTTGGAACCTTATCGTAAGCTTTTTCTAATCAATAAAAATCATATATAGAGCCTCCTTACCCTCTCTTTTCTTCTCCATCAAATTTGTCAATAAATATATAGCTTCCATAGTAAACCTGTCCGACATAAATCCAAACTGATTATAAGAAAACTTTGTATCACGTCTTAATCTATATTCAATTACGCTCTCCCATAATTTTATAGCATGACATATTAATTTAATTCCTCTATAATTTGCACACTCTTGTGCATCCCATTTATTCTTAAAAATGGGGACAAAAATACCCTTTCTCAACTTCTCTAACTTCTTTTAGTTTTTAAAATAATATTAAAGAGTTTAGTAAGTTAAGAAACTCAAGAAACATCCAAATATCTTAGATATTTTCACACAATTAATTTTAAAGCGTGTTGTGGTTATACTTTGTTCTTTAAAATGTATTTTTTGTAGTTCATAGTTGTCATTCCGTGTTTAATCAGTGATCCTTCAGTTATTTATGGGACATTTACATACATACCTCCCAATTCTTATATGTTTACATATCTAAGACTTAAACATTGATTTTTACATGTATACCACCTAAATCTTTCATATCACATCAAAAATACCACTATTTTAACTTAAAAAAGTGGGATACACCTTTTCATTCATGGGTAAGGTGACATATATGTAAAAACTGAAGTTCATGTGTTAGATATGTAAGTACATAAGAATCTAGTGGCATGCATGTAAATGTTCCTTTGGGGGCATTTACATAAATACCACACAATTCTTATATATTTACATATCTAAACATCTAAACTATAATGTCTACATTCAGATCACTCAAATGTCATCTGCACCTTTTCATGAATAGCTTTATAGTGCGATGGTACGATAAATGTAAATATCAAACTTTAGATGTTAGATTTGTAAATACATAAAAAATTGTGTGGTCTCCCTATTTTGTACTCTCATCACTCAGTTTATGTTTGATTCTAATTACTTTTCCAATCTAAGCTATTTATTGATCATAGCTGCAGAAATAAATCGGACAATCTGTTCACTTTATTTATGCAGGTCACAACTGCTCGGGTTTACAACTGGGATGTTCATCAAAGAAGAATCAAGCAAACAACTTGAAAAGAAAAAAATAAATCAAAAATGGTTTTTTTTCCTTCTTCTTATTAGCTAAAAAACCATATTGCCGTTGGATTCTTCTTTTGAGCCTTTGATGGTCTTAAATATATTTTATGACTTTAGTTGTGAAAAAAATGCACTTTTAGAAACTTATGCGAGTATTATTATTTTTTTAAGCTTCTCTTTGAAGGATTTATGTATGCTTTGTGAACTTGAAAAGAGCGAAAAATTATTCCATACGGATGCAAAATGCATGCGGTGTCTGATCCTGACCATAAATCAGTATTTTTGTTTTTAAAAGTGCATTTTTACTGTGTCCGATCCTGACCGTAAAAGTGTATTTCGGTGGGCCCCACTTAAATTTTAAAAAAAAAAAACTAAAATATATCCTGACCGTAGATCACCCTGATTTACGGTTAGGATCGGACACCGCATGCAGAGATGCATACGGTGTCCGTACACAATAATTTCTCGAAAAGAGCAGCCTTGTTTTGCATAACAAGTGATTATGGCTTTACCTAATAATTTCAAAAAATAAAAAATTAAAAAAAAAAATCAAGTAGTTAAAAGATAGCGAATGAGTTTTGATTTGTTTTGTTCTATTTGCAACAGTACTCTCTTTGAAATAAATTACAATAAACTAAAATGATAAAATTCCTTGTTTTTTGAACATTATACCATCACATGAAAAATATAGGAATTGTTATGGTAGAAGAGAACACAAATTTTAAATAGCTATTTTCACTTCATTTGAGTTTCATGTTGCATTTTATCTTTTACAGAATTTTAACCTTTTTTTTTAACTGAAATGTGAGCATCACACCCAACTTTATTCAAAGAAAAAAATGAGTTGCAAAATGAATAAATAAAAAATGATCGACAAAAACGCCAACAAGTGTAAGAACTTCAAAATATAATAGAAACTGTACTTAAACAAAACAAGACAAGCAATAATAGAAATCCCCCAAGAAAGATATACAGTCCACCAGGAATAGAAGGACACGACAACAACAACATTTTAGCAGCAACAAAACAACACTCCAACAACACTTTAACAACAACAAAATAGCACTTCAACAACAATAGAAATCTCCAATAGAAGACATACTTCACAAGGAATTGAAAGCCCTATAAAGAATACAAACAAATAAGTAGTAGAAAAATCAAAGAACTATAAAAAAAATACGAAGAGAAAAAACAAAAACTAAAGAAGATAATGTAAGATACAAAAAATAACAAGGACTTCAACACATTAGAGCTACAAACTTGGCTGCATAAAAGTACTAAACTTCTATTCTAAAATTTTGAATATGTAAAAATATATTTAAAATATTATTGAATTTTAATAATGAATGAAATTTATCACAGCTAAATATCAAACTCAGCAACCAGAGAAGATCACAAAGTAAGAGCATACAACAAAGATCAAAGTTGAACCGCCAAAATAAGCTAGAGCTAGAAGAACACCAACAAGAACTCCAAAATACAATAACAGCAACAAAAATAATCAAAACTCTAACATCAAACTAACAGGAACAAAGCAGCACTCCAAATAACATAGATCCCTAATGGAAGGAAAAATAGTTCACCAGGAGCAGAAGGCCTAGAAAGAAGTATTATAATTCAATCCAAAAATTTTGGAATATATGAAAAATAAATTAAAAAGCATGCTTGAATTTTAATAATGACTGGAGAGCATCACATCACAAAAACCAACCTCGACAAACAAAGCAAGGACAAGAAAAACTGCAACGAATCAAAGGATCAGGAAAAACCCAAGAAGCTGCAAAACAATAGGGAGAAGCAAACTAGCTAGCCAACCAAAAATATAAGTATTAAAATTCCATTTAAAATTTTGAATATATAAAAATATATTAAAAAATATGGTTGAATTTTAATAACTACAAGAGAACATTACAACTCAAAAACAAACCTGAACAAACCGAGCAAGAACAATTAAAAATTGTAACACATAAAAGAACCAGAAAAAACCCAGCCAACAAGCTGTAAACAATAGGGTGAAGCAACCCAGCCAACCAACCAAAAACCAAAACACCACAACCAACTCCACAGACAAAACTCTAGAAAAATCAACCAACCAAAACAAAGAATATGAGATAAGTAAAAATTTGTAAAACTATTCAATAGAATTAGGAATAGAATTTTTAAATTTCCATTTTCTTGCTCATGTAGAAGATCAATCAATGAATATAATTGATATTAGAATTAACAGAAGTATGGTGACTCCAAAAAATTTGGAATTTATCTCGTACCAAATCACATAAGAAACAACTTGAACATCTAAAAGATAAAAAACACTTAGAAATTTTGCATGTTGAACTATCCAAGTGATAGATAACTTGAAAAATATTACTATAACTATAAAAAAATTATCATTAAGTAAAAAAAAAAAAATTGAGAAGCATATAAGAATAATAACATTTAAAAAAAAGATGAACATGAGTTTGAAGATTATTCATACATAAAACACTAGACAAATTGAGATGCATACTTCTTAAAGAAAGAATGTCACAAGTGTTGAGCCCTCTCATAATAACTTTCTACCAAACTCTCTTAAACTAACTAACACGAGGAGAAGTGGCATAAAGAGAAAGATAAACATCTTTATGAGAATAAGATTCTTTTCCAAGTACAAGTAAGACCAATGGAAATAGAAATCTTGTTGATAACAAAAACTAGAAGGTTGATAATTAGAAGGAAAATTTCAAAATTATTAAAAGTAATATCCATAATCTTAGAATTAAGAAGAAGATTAAACCAAGTATAAATAGAATCACCAAATTTCTCCATAAGAGAAACTCCCTCAAACTAATGATCAAAATAAAATAACATTTGACAATCATTGGTAATATGAAAGCTTAGAGCAGACCTAAATTTGATAGCAATTCTGATAAGATCTTTCCAAAAAGGAGAATACATAGAATTAACCTTGTGCCGAAAAGAATCATAATCGTCAGTCAAATGTCGACCGACATTTGTCTAAGTGACAACCAAAGTCTAGCAGAACGACTCTGACCACGTACATTTCAATACACACCAGACTGTTCTTCAATGGATGTGTTGCACTATGGGAATCAACACATGTATCATGTGAGGTTCCATAATGCTCTGGCAGCCATCCTACCCACATGACATCAAAAATTGATGCCAACACATACACCTACACAACTCTCTGGCGACTTTCCAATTGAAGAGAAGGGGCTAACTATCAGATTGCAGTAAAATATTCTCTTTCTAAGAACCTAGCCTCAGATTGACAATAAGAGTCATCCAAAGATAATGTTAATTACCAATTGGATCTGGATAGTTAATCAACCACAACTGACAAGGATGGCCGACCGAAGGACCATGGTTTGTCAGACCGAAGGACCATAGTTTGGTCGATTGAAGAAGGTTAGCTTGACCGGCCGAAGTTCCCAAGCTATATCAACCAAAGATCCACATCCCGGACAACTGAAGAACCGCAACATGGACGACCGTAGACCCCCAATTCAACTAACCAAAAGCCCATAATTTGGTTGATCAAAGGTCTATAGTCCAGGATTGAAGCCCTTAAATAAATAGATCGAAGATCCAACTGATAATTGGGGAATGAGACAACCAAATTAGAGGCCGCATTTTATCTTTATTCATTATTTTATTCATGTATCTATTTATGATCAAAAATGCCCTATGAGGATCTTATTTTAGACAAGGGTAGGTGGGTAATTGTGCACTTCATATCCCCTAGCCTATAAATAGGGGATCATTTTTACAATGAAAGATTAATGAATTATTCAAGCTAATTTAAACCTTTCTCTCTCTCTAGTTTTCATATGCTCTATTTCTTGGGTGTGCTTACAGAGCATTCTCAGATTCAACAATATTATATGAAAATTTTGAGCACATGCATATTAAATAAATTTAGAACAATTCATGGATGACATTAGATCTTCTTCTCAAAATTTTTTAATACGAAAAATCATTAGACATAGTATCTTAGCTTGGTTGAAACAATTTTACTACCAAAACTTATATTAGTAGAAAAAGTTTATACAATGTAGACACGAATTATGAAATATAACATTTTTGGTGAAAGTATGTGGATCATTTTGTTGTAATGTTTCAAACTATACCCTCAAGTGATTGATTTTGCTCTATTGAGACTTATAATTAATTTAATTTTGTGTTTTGATATTGTTGGATTTGCGTAATGAAAATATCCTGTTTCACCAAGAGCCTCCTGAAAAATGCTTTAGATGGTCCGAAAGTTGTTTAAAAAACTCAAGGGTCGGGAGGCTTGAGAATTGTATCAAGGGATAAAATGAAAATATCAATTATATAAATAATATATTATAAGTCTTTGAGTTAATCTTATTCTATATATGATAATCCCTAAGCAAATAAAAAAATAATAAAAAATATTATATTATTATTTTATAAATTTAAGGGCATTATTCTTAATAAAAAAATCTATATAATCTTTACTTGAGGTTTCCTTATTACATATTTAGTTGTTTTACATATATGTATTTATTTAGGTTTTTAAATAGACTATTTTATTTTAATTACCCAAACTTTAAATATAAAATTTTAATAACTTTTCTCATTACAACCACCATCCATTACTCATTAATGAAAGTTATAAGCGAAAGTTTTGAGTGGTTAAAATATTATATTTAAAGTTTTGGATGACTAACAATTTTGTTTTATTCTATAAATACATTTGACCCCTAAAACTTTCTATTTATTGAACAATTACACACTAACTTTCCATTTGAAAGTGTGGGAGCAGCTTGTAGACCACTGCTGGTTCTATACATAAATTTTAACACTTTAAATATGTTAGTTAAAAGGAAAATTTCTAAAATGATTAAATTGTTTCGTGGGAACTAAGTTTACTATGTGAAGTATTCGAGTCTCTATTTGACGTGACGATTTAATTTAAAATAAAAGGAGCATTTACATGAATAACACATAATTCTAATGTTTTTTTTAATATATTGCATTTAAAAGTGTCATGCTTACACATATAATATTTAAATTTTTAATATCATATTATAAATGATATTATTATTATTTTTTAAAAATAAGTTATATTTTTTCATTCATAAATTTAAAACTCTGTGTGTGTTTGTGTGTGTGTGTGTGTGTGTGTGTGTGTGTGTGTGTGTGTGTGTGTGAATCACACAGTGTGATATGTCGGTTATGTGCAGAGAAAAATATGTTTAAATACGCAGAGCTGCTTTATAAATAGGTTACACCATCAGTAATATTTTTGTAATATACATATAATCCTAAATACACTCTGAATAATCTCTGAAATTTTTTCTCTTGCAGAGCTCTATAAATTTCATAAAATATTAAAAAGTATAACAAACCCTAAAAATCGACATTCCGCCCTGATATCGCGAGGATTTCCGTTCCGTCCTCAATCGCGCCTCTCCACCCACCGGCGTTGCATAAGCTCACCGGCTCCCTCACCGAGGCTAGCGTAACCATTTCTGTCTCCTCCACGCCTCAGCAGCCACCTGCTCTAGCTGCCGGATCTTGGCCACTTACCGGTAGACCTTTGTCATTTCTTTCAAATCCATTATAAAGTTAGAGATTTTTGTTCTTGTAAATCTTCAAATGAGATTGGTGTTATGTTTAGAAGGTTCTTTCTCGGATTATTCCAATTGTGATCTGTTACTCTATATAAGGTACTTTATATGTTGCTTTGATTAATTATTGCAAATGAACCCTAATAGGGTTCAACATGAATGTTCTATGTTTAAATTATAGGGTTCTTAATTATTAAGATTTCAGGTAACTATTCTTTCTTGTGGCTGTTTTTATATCTATTATTGCTCTCTATGGTGGAGGAGATATGCTTGTGGTCTTTAGAGTTTTGTGGAAGAGGATAGGACGAAAAGGCAACCTTTTTTTCCATTTGGTAGAGAATGGGAGGTGAATAGTGTTTTTTTTTTTCTACGAGTAAGAGAGGTGTTTCCGTGTGAGTAAGAAGGTTATTTTGCCTAATGACCTTTGAAACAAAGAGTTTGCTGAAATGGCTTTCTCTTACTTTTATACTTTAAAAATATTGTATTGCTATTTATGTTATTTAAAATTTTATATAAACTTTCTTATAGATTTACATGCTATACAAACTTTTCTTTAGTAAATTTTAAATAAATTTTTTTTTAAAATTCTATTTCTATCATTATACTTAAAACTATATTGATATGTTGTCTCGAACTTGAGTTGATATGTGATTGATGGGCATTTATTTCACCAATCAATGGTCACATGGAATTTATAATTAATGAGAGTTGATATGTTGTCTCTAACTTGAAATAGATTTGCTTGGCTAGGATTCGTAGAAAGAGTAAATAAAGAGTGGAAGTAGTTTTAAGATGTTGGAAGATTTGAAACTTCTATTTTTGTTAAATCTCAGAGGGTTTCAAATAATTTCTTAATTTGAGACATTCATGAGCATATTGACCTTATTGTGTGAAGAAATAATTAAATATTGAGTATTCAAAACAAATAAGTTTTTCAATTCTTGTACGTTTGATGTTGAATGTGTATTCTTCAAAAACTTCTTAGTTTTTGCCAGTGGCGGACCCAAGTAGAGTCCAGGGGATTTGGTTTTACTTTTTTGGTGTTTGGCTGTATTTAGGTGAAATCCATGGTTAAATCCTATTAAAAGTGTGCTATCAAACGCCCCCTTAGTGTTAATAAAATCAGTTATATTATTTACGTTGTTATTTTACCTACAAATGAAGGAACTAACCAGATTGATGCCAACTTTCACTATAACTGTATTGGTCACATCCCCCTTGTGGCCAGAAATAAATTTTTTTTTTGTGGTTTGGAATCAATCAAGTATTCCTTCCCTCCATCTCTTGGAAAGTTAAGAAATTAGCCAGGGTTGATGCAGCGTCCATTTCAACTGTGTTTGCATCCGTGTATGCCTTATTCCTATTATCCTGCGTAGCTGCATACAACACTCATCATTGAGCGTATTTTGAGCGTTGCTCCTATGTTCTACCTCGGTTTACTGATTGTGTTTGGTATGTTTTCTCTATGCTTTTCAAGATTCAGCGAGGAAGATGACTTTGCTTGTATGAGGGCTTTTTGTGGTCTAAGGATTAATTATTACTTACTAGGAAGATGATTAGTGGAGTTCAATTTGGACGTTGCTCCAATCGCTTGTTTTTGTTAAACATGTAAATTTGATGTCTTTTGCGTGTATTCTTACTAAAAAAATAATTTATCAGATGTTAATATTAGGCAATTTTATTCATATAAGCTTTTTTTCTTACAATTTTAACACCCATATCCTGATTTGTTTTAGGCAAGTTGCTAGTTAATTGCTTCCATTTTGTTGTTGAAGCCTAAACGTTTTATGGCATTTTCTTAATGCTTTGTGCAGTAATTCCACTTTACTATTTGATTATTTTATTTTAATTTCATGTAGTTTATTTTTATCATATGCATGATGGCAAATTATGAAGGGATCTCGGAGGTTGACGCAAAAATGCCTTTGACTACATTTGTGAAATATAACATTATATAGTTAGACATGGGCGGGTCATTGATTGCTTGATATGTGATCTTATTTAGTGTTTGTGGTTGCTCATTTTTTTAAATTTACTTTTTTAGCTGTTAGTGATACATATTTATTGTCACATGAAGTTGATCATTATATTAGCATTAGTTTTGATTCTTTTACTTGATTAATTATTTCATTAAGGCCATTTACGCTATTAATTTTTTTTGGGGCATTTACTTACATAGCACACATTTCTTATGTATTTACATATCTCACACCTAAACTTTCATATGTACACACAATACCCAAATCTTTATTATCACATAAAAGATAACACTATTAACAATTTTTAAAAGTGAAATACACATTTTCATGCATAGGTTTAACCAACCAAAGTACTATGCATGTAAATATGAAAGGTTGAATGTGTGATCATGTAAATTTCCCTTGTTTTTTTATTCATTGTTTTTGTAACTAAATTGTTGAATGATGTTCTTCCAAATTTGTAGGCGGGTCACGTGTCTCAATGGCCGTCTACCACACAAATTGAACTTTTGATGGAGGTTGCAGGGGTTTCCAGATCAGGGCAGGCTGCGGCTTCTGTGGTTAAGAAGAGAAGGAGTTCTTCAGTAAGAAGACCTCGGCAAGGTTCACCGTTGCATTTTGGGAGTCGGGATCCATCCTCACTTTCTTCTACACCTTCTTCCGATAATACAAACAAGTTTTCTCCTGATGACAGTTCAGGATATGATGGCAGCTCGCGTAGGAAAGAAATTTATCTCAACTACCCCCCTCCTAAGGTTGCTTCTCTCAGTAAATTTGATTATTCCACTCCATCGAAGAAGAGAAAGAAAGATAATAAAGCTCAGCGAGAATATGACACACATTATGTGAGCAGCAGTTTAAGAGATCATGGACGGAATGGATCAGATGTGAGGCGAAGTAGCGAAGGTGTACTTGCTCCCAGTAACTGGAAGAGCTCAAGCAAATTTAAGGAGAACTCTGAAATGCGGTCTCTATCTCCTGAACGGTATGGACTTAACTTGCATCAGTCAGCTGGATCTGCTAGCACCTCTGTTGAGACCAAGCTGAAGAAGGTGAAGCTCAAGGTTGGTGGAGTTACTCGCACAATTCCTGCGAAATCTAACATTGAATCTGGAAACATTGGATCTTCTTCCATAAAGTATTCACGGTCTTCTGATGCCTTTCAACATCGATCTAAGATTATTTCTCAGGTAATACCTTTTTGATTTCATGAATTTTAAGCATACCTTGTTCCTCTGAGCAAAGGTTATGTTGTGTATTTAATGTTATTATTATTTTTAATTTTGATGAGGAAATATGCTCTTAAGATTTGTTATTTTATGTAAAAAGATCTGCTTTGTGCTTTTTTTTCATGGAATATAACCGGGTCTACCTTTTTTTAAAAATGGGGCGTGTAAAATGCCACTAAAAGTTTAAGAAGTGAAATACAGCTTTTCTTGCATAGGTAAAGTGGCATATATGTACAAATTGAAGTTTAGGTGTTAGATATGTAAATACATAAGAATTGAATGGTGTGCGTGTAAATATTACTTTGAAGAAATTGTGCTGCATGCATTCCGACGTAAAATTAAAAGATTACTTGCTTGTTTCTATTAGGATAATTCTGATGTTTGGAAGGATGGTGGTGGAGGAAATTCTTGCAGAGGTAAATTTACGGAAGGCGATTTATCTGGAATTCAAAGTGATCAAAACCAAGGTGTATTATCTGAACCCGTTCGGAAGAGCAGGAGGGTGCCGAAGAAGCGGGTCTTGGATGGTGAATTTGATGACGGCGAGGAAGACGAAGAGCTTCGTTACATTGAAAGGCTCAAAACCTCTAGAGGTTCTGCTGATTGCAGTATGGAAAATGAGAGGGATGGGGAGGATGGGACCAAAAAAAGGAAGCTTTCCAAGGTAAGTAAAGTTAGGAGTGCTTCATATATGGAGGATGAGGACTACAATTTTTCAAGAATGAACAAAGATGGAAGGAAAAGGCCCAGGTCAGGTAGGTTTTCTGAGGATAGTGACTATGTTGAAGAAGATGAACCTATTTCTGATGATAATCCTGAGGAGAAAAGGAAGAAGCAGAAAAAAGCACCCGTTGATTCATCTCCGGAAGTACGAATGGAACCTCTTACAACACGACAACGAGCTCTGCATCCAGGTAAGGATGGAAGTGGCTCAAGCCTGATTGAGTTTCCTGATGGGCTACCTCCAGCACCTCCAAGAAGTAAGAGCCATCTCATGTTCTATGACCTTCATTTTAGTTTATACAGGACCATTTTAGTTCCAAAGTTCATAAAAGTGTCAAATTAATCCAGACTCTTTGAATTGAGGCTGAAATAGTCCTTCGTGGATACTATTTCAGCTCATATTAAAAGAGTATGGTGATTAAATCGACACTTGGAGTCTAACTTGACACTTTATAGACTCTAGGACTAAAATGACCTCTTGCAAAGAATCACAGGATTATTTTGATATTTTTCTTGTTTTTTTTTTTGGGGGGGTTTTTGACTTGATGTATTCCCACAGAACAAAAGCAGAAGCTATCTGAGGTAGAGGAGCAGGCTAAGAAGGCAGAAGCAGCTCAGAGACGGAAAATGCAAGTGGAGAAGGCTGCTAGGGAATCAGAGGTTTTTCTCCACGCACTCCTTCCATTCCAACCACCAACCAAATAAAAAATTGGTATACCACATTTCTAAATTTTTATAATTTTGTTTAAATTCATGCAATCTACAGGCGGCAGCAATTAGGAAAATACTTGGATTGGATTCTGACAAGAAGAAAGCCGAAAAGGAGAAGGCTCAAGCTGAAAAAGTATGCTTACAGACATATTGATGTCCTTCATCTCCAACTGGAATGGAATTTCTGTCTATGAATTTCTTATTTTGTTTGCAGGCCAAAGCTGCTAGTTCTCAAATATCAGAGGGTAATAGCATTAGATGGATCATGGGACCTACTGGAACAGTTGTTACATTCCCGGATGCTGTTGGCCTGCCAAGCATATTTGATTCCAAGCCATGCAGGTCATACTTGCCCTCTACAAATTTTAATGGAAGATTTACTTGCATGCCACTCAATTCCTATGTTTTTACATATCTAACACCCAAGTTTCAATTTTTACATACGTGCTACCTTAACTATACGTGAAAAGCTGTATTTCTCTCTTAGAAAGTTAAAATAGTGGTATGTTTTATGTGATACGAATGATTTGAATGGCATAAATTTAAAAAAAAAATAAAGTTTAGGTGCTAAGTATGTAAATACATAAGAATTGGGTGCTATGTATGTAAATGGCCGAATTTTAATTTGCCTGAACTGTTTAGTAGAGGCATAGTGGTTAGTACTGTTAATAACAGATTTCTTCTTTTTGTCCAGTTATCCACCACCAAGGGAGAAATGTGCAGGGCCATCTTGTGCAAATCCATACAAGTACCGGGATTCGAAATCAAATCTTCCTCTGTGCAGTCTGCAGTGTTACAAAGCTGTCCAAGGAACTGCCAATCACATTACATCATGTTGACAATATTTTTTTTGGATAAATAACACCTATTGTTTAGATGGGTACACTAAATTTATTTATACAAGGCTGAGATTCTGTGTTAGTTGGTTTTGAATACTTAATGATTGAAATCTGAAATTATATTTTTGTACAATTTCTTATGTCAGATTACTGCCTGGTAGTATACCACTTAACTCTTCTGTATTTACACATCTAACACCTGAACTTCCATTTTTACATACCTGCTACCTCATCTATGTATGATAAGTTAAAATAATGTTATTTTTGATGTGATATGAAAGATTTAGGTGGTATAAAAGTGAAAAAAGTGTAGTTTCGGTGTTAGATATGTAAATACATAAGAATTGGGCATGCAAATGCCCCTTTTTTTTAACATAAACTTCTGGAGTCACTGCTCTTGTTGCTTGCAAATTAAATGCTTCAAGTGCCAAGTGCTGCATCACCAAGTTCATGGTCATGGACTTGGGCATTTGGGTGAATGTGAATTATTTATGATATTTTGATGCATATTGTTTCATCTTCAGATTGTTTGTGTGCGTGTATGGCCAGTGCTTGTGCTTGTGACAACTTGTGCCTGATGCACAACATTGTTTCATCTTGTGAAATACTTGTGGAACAACAATTTCTAGGAAGGTGCTTCTAATATATCTCTAATGCTGTTTGGAATACTCCTGCCTGACAAACTTGTATTGAATGCGTAGCATTTTAGAGAGAATTTATCATTAAAAAAATAGGAAGATTTACATATATACCACTCAATTCTTTTGTATTTACATATCTACGCCTACACTTCAATTTTTTTTATTATATTCCACCTTATCTATGTGAGAAAAGGTTTAGTTCACTTTTTTTTTTTTGCATTTTTAAAATAACATCCACTGTTTCTTAAAAAAATCAAACACATTTTCATGCATGGGTTTGTTTAAAATGAAGTAATTTTAAAATTTTCATGTAATATTTATATATTTTAGTGTACTTACATGCATACAACACAATTCTCATGTATTTACATATTTAACACCAAAAATTATATTTTATATTTGATTACAACATTGACTTTTCTTTCATATTTGAGTATAAGAGAATAGACGTAATTATTATCCATGAAAATTGTATTTATCTCAAAGGCAATGTAATTATAATTTATATATACCACTAATTTGTGTAAATCAATCAAATTTATATATAAATATATGTATCTGTGTGTGTGTGTGTCTATATATATATATATATAATTGATGAGTAGTATTGTAAGACAAAATGAGCCGAGCACGAACGAACAATTCTTCGTTCGAGTTCGGCTTGTTAACTTAGCGAACGAGTCGAACATGGGCTTCTTAACGAGCCAAACTCGAGCTCCTTAACGAGTCGAACACGAGCTGTTCGCGAACAACGAGTTGTTTTGACAACCCTAATCAGTGGTGCCCAATGACTATTGTTGGTGTCCGCAATGTTGCCACAACAATTTACATTAAGCAATAGTTTTAAACTTCAGCTAAGCCAGACAGATTACAAATTAGAAAAAATGGATTGACAATGTAATTTTATGTTGAATACAATTTCTTTCGAACATGCAATTAAATTTTTATAATAAAGAGAAATGGAATGTACCACACCTGAATTATCGCTGACAAAGTTTGATTCTCATCATATAAATTTTCAAAAAAAAAAAAAAAAGTCTCCTATTCTAAATTCTAATAAAAAGGTAATTCGGAATAGGGCCGTCAAAACAGTTCATTGTTCGCGAACAGCTCGTGATCGACTCATTAAGAAATATTTGTTCGTTCGTGTTTGGCTCGTTTTGGCTCGAAATATTACTATATATATATATATATATTTGATGAGTACTATTTTTAAAAAATTTAATTAACTACAAGACTACAAATATTTATAATCAATTAAAAGTATTAATTAAGAGTATAAAATAAAATTTATTAAATTAGATTTAAATGATGTATTAATATGAACAATAATTTTTAAATTTTGCCCCAATTTTTAACATCTTATGCCTAAGTGATTAGGGTTGATGGTCCGTGTTCGGCTCGTTAAGCAAATGAGCCGAACATTAACATACTTTTTGAGCTCGAAATATAAACCAGCCGAACAGAGCTGAGTAAGGGCTAGCTCGTGTTGTGGCTAAATCACACCCTTAATTAGGAATAATGTTTTGAGCCCTTAAAATGCGTGGGACAAGATAACACGTTCCAAGTGGCAAAATCTCCTTCCGCCAAGACTATTCCGGCCTTCTTCTTCCTTCGGGTAACTCCAACGTCGGCTCTGAACTCCAATTGCTGACCGCTTCTGACTGCAGTCATCTCACTTCTCTCTCTTCTTCGTCTACCCCTTACCCACGCCGCCGGGGCTGGAAGAGAAAACGTGATTGAAACCCTAAATTAAGTTAAGATTTTCGGTTTGGGATTTGGTTTCTTCTCTGCCAGGATGCTGGATCTTCAGAAAAGAAGGATTCAGTTTGCCCTCTTCATCGTGGGTCTAACGGCCCTCAGCATGACTGGTATCGGATCTCTTCTCCTGCTAAATTTTTGAAACTTTCGTTATAAATTTTCGAGTGATTTAGTGTATTTGGATTCTGCGCGATTGCTTGATAGCTGCACTTTTGGTCTTGGTTTTGTTTGGCTTATTATTGTTTTATTTGATTTGTGTTAGAAGTTTTATCCATTTTTTTTGTGATTTGCTGGCTCTTTCCAATAAATTGTATCTGATATCTTGATAAAGGGGCGCTTGTCTGGTCGTCTTTGATGGAGTTGTGAATCTTAAGTATGAGCTACTGTTTGATTGCAAGTTAAAATATTGGCAAATGTTGCTTTGTTAATTCACTATATATGAAGTTGATCATTTAAAGTTTGTCCGTTTATCAACGTCTAATAAATAGTAGACATGAATAAAATGTTTCAGGAAAATTTAAATTAATTGTATACTTTTAACCATTTATGGCATAGTTTCCTAAGACTTTGCATTGTCACTTCCCCTCAAGTTGGAGTAGACGTTTCAATAAACTCTAGTTTGTTACAAAACTTACGAGGTGCTGTAGCCTTGATAAACACATCAAGTTGTTTTATACTGGGAATATCAGGATTAGTGATGTTTTGGCTACACAACATCTTGGATAAAGCGATAATCGATTTTAATGTTTCTCACTTTTAGGTGGAATGTTAGATTACTGACAATGTATATGACAGCATATTTTTCTTTAATTAAAATAATAGATTTTGCAGTAGATGCATCAAACCAAATTCCTTCGAGAGGGCTTTTACCAATCATGCGAAGTGAGTCATGGATTTGTACTCCGACTCTGCACTTGAACTAGTGATTGCATTGAACGAAGTTTAAAGTAAGGCAGAGTGAGCTAACCCAAACCGCAATAAGAAAAATAAACATTATTACTGAAAACAAATAGGCTGGTACAACCAACACACTTGAAAGGGAAAATATAATAACATGACACCAGAAAATCTGAATTAACAACAGACAAGACACAAACACTTAACTCAGGTGGATCTCAGGTGAGATGGTGGCCGATAGGGGCTTGGAGAATTGTAGCAAAGGGGTGGGTGGATTGGACAACATAGAAACAACGGCTAGGCGTGGTTCTAGGCGGTGAGACAACAACTAGGCAGTAAGGTGATGGCTCCGGCGGCTGGGACAACAACTAGGCAGCCTGGGGAATGGTCTTGGGTGGCTGGAATAGCAATGACAGGGCGAGAGAAGTGCTGAAACAGCAGTGAGGTTGCAGGGATACGGTTCAGGTGGCTGGAACAACAGTGGAGTGGACAACAACACAAAGGGCTTATAGGGTTGTGGTAGCAAGGCAGAAGGCGAGGAGATAGAGAAGGGAAGGTTGCGTGTGGTTAGGATTTTAGCAGGGGTGTCAGAAGAATGATTTTGGGCGGCCGACAGTGAGCAGACAACAATTGAAAGAGCAAGAACTGCAGGAAGACAGCCGGGCGTGGCTATCAGGGCAACTACAACGAGGAGGAATGTGTGTTAGCGAAGTGGGAGTGATGCAGAGGAGTTGTGGAATGATTAAATACCACATCAGGAGTGAGATACAATCAAAATGCCACTCCACTCTTGGAGAAAAGTCACCACCTCAGACGAGGTACAGCCGGAGCACCGCCCATCATCGAATACAGTCCTAGTAGGGAAAACCTGTATGCCAATGACTATCCTGAACAAAAAAATAACAAATATATAGTTCTAGGGTAAAGAGGGGCGGGCCCTGCTCCAAATAAGAGGGAAATTCAAGAATAGGAAGTGTCGACCGGTCATTGACGAAAAATCTCGTGACACTATAGCATGGATCACGGATGGCTCTATGTGGAATTGGCTTCCCGCAATACTGTAACAATGTTCAAGCAGGGGGGTGGGGGTGGGGCTGGAGTTGTGGAGGGAAGCTTTTGCATCAAATCAACTAGCCCCACTTAGAGTTTTCATCTTTGAAGGTCCCAAAATATCACTGTGGATGATAGAAAAAGGGTGTGAGGGTGGGATAACTATTTCTACTGTATTCGACAGTTTGACAAATCTCACATTGATAAGAACTAGAGTTTTATGCATAAACAAATGAGAATACAATTTTGCAGTATAATTAAAATTAGGATGACTCAGACGACAATGCAATAACATAACCTATTTTTCGATAGATAGACTCAACAACTCAGAGTTTTGAGGTAAAAAGGAAAGTGAGATCATTTTTGTGTTTAGATAAAGATTTTTATTGAGTAGGTGTACGTCTTGATATATTTCAACATTGCTAATCACCTTTCCGGACTCCACCTGAAATGCATAAGAGTGTGCAAGAAATTTTGTTATACATTTCATACATGAGTAAGCTTACTGATTGAAATTAAATTTTAGTCCAACTGTGGATTATATAAAATATAAGAAAGAGTAATATTATGAGAAAGCTTCACATCTCATTTTTCAGCAATTTTTTAGTATGATCCATTTGCAAGTTTGAAACCTATTGATAGTTGACTAAAGTAATGGTGTTTTGAGTCATATGATCAGAGGCTCCTGAATATATGATCCAAGCTTTAAATCTCCCTTTACCAGCAAGATGAGAGAATGATGTATTACCTTTGTGAGCCACGAGATTGGTGGGCTGATCTGAATTATCTCTAAGGTGTTTATTCAATACTTCAAGTTGTTTTCTGGTGAATGCTTCAAAATTAACCTCTAGAGTAAACCTGACGTCTTCATCCCATAGTTGGTCATAAACCCTATGCGTCTTTAGGGTTGTTGCTTGTTGTAGGATGGGATTTGACTGCTGGTTCTGCAGGTAGAAGAAAGGCTGCTGCAGGAAAGGAGAGAAAGCTAGCAGGTGTTGAAGTTGCTGCTTCAAGACAGCTACAGTTTCTAATGCTGCTCATACTGGATGCTAGCTGCTGTTGCTGCTGGGAGAGTAGGAGCAGAGGAATAAACAGGAGGGTTGGCTGGGGTATGTCGGCAGAGGAATGCATAGGAATACGGAGAAGGGCTGCAGTGAGAGGTGCTGCCAGAAGAGGTCCTGCGGCATAGAATTTCAGATGCAGGGAGGAGTTCCGGCGCAGAGAAGAAAAGAGGAGGAATTTCTGCTTCATGGAAGAGATGAAGATGGGAATTTCAGGGAGAAAGGGGCCTGCAGGGAGGAATTCTGTCTTCCTACAAGGAAGAGCTGCTTGCAGTGCCTGCAAGGAATAGTTCCGAGATAGCAGGAGATGTACAGGCATATGGGCTACTTCAGGGCCAACAGGAGAAGCACTGGCCCCCCTGTAGGGACAATAGAAGGATGGCGGAGAAGGCAGGAACAAGCCTTCGGAAGGCTGGCTGGAACGAGTTCTTGTGGCTACTGCTTTTTGTCGGAGGTGAGGATCATTTGCTGACGACTGCAGGGAAAGGTTTCAGAGGCCCTGTCTGCAGGACGAAGCTCTGGCGGAGGCCCTGTATGAAGGCAGGTGGGTGCATGAAGGATAATTTGCTGCTGCAAGGACCTGTTTATAGGTGATTGGCTGTTGCGACAGTAGGTTTGCTGCTGTAGGAATCTGCTGAGGTGATTGGCTACTGCGGCAAAAGGTTTGTTGTTGCTATAGTGAATTGCGGGAGGTTTTCGATAAAGGAACCGGTTGGAGACAAGCTTGCTGCAGGGAGAAGCCTGTTGGGGCCTGCAGAGAGGAGCAGTCTGGGAGGAAGCATGCAGGGAGGAGTGGTCTACATGATGGAGGACATTCCGGTGAAGATGCGGGCCTGACAGAAAATGCGGGCCTACAGGTGGGCAGAGGAGAATCCAGCGGCTGTTGGAAGCTAGGGTTTGTTCCAAATCTCTAATAACAAGTAGAAAAATATGTTTGGGGTGAAATAATTTCCTTGATTCACTAAATTCACATGTAAGATACATATACATAGAAAAAATAATCTCTCATAACTTACAAACTTACTAAGTATATCTAACCTAAATTAGGAATGAAAATAATTCTTAAATAAAAATAAAATAACGTATAATAGGAAGGGAATAAACTAATTATAGGTTTCCTAATTATTCTCAATCGAATCCTCCACAAGATCTTCTCAGATTTTCACACTTTTAAATAGGTTCATGAAGAACTATGCACTTCTTTTAGATGGGTGAGTTCAAAGAATTACGTCCTTAATGTTGCAAAATATTATCCAAGTGTGTCTTATAGACTAGTGGATTGGGCCCAATGCTCATGAGGTATCCTCATAAACGGAAATGACACCAGGAGGCTGGTCAAGTTCAGGCTGACGGTAATGATAAAAAAGTTTTAAATTATAAATATAAGTACATGTTCTTGTTGTTCCAATAAGACAGAGAAATCTGCTACTGATTTTACAGAGGCACTTGAAGAACTATGTGTGTTTATTAGATATTCGAAAGATTTTGGCTTTAGTATTGCAAAACATCAGCCATGCATGTTTTATAGGCGGGTGGCCAGGCACAACATTCCCAATGCAACTCTCAACCGGGATGATGTCAGGAGGTTGCCAAAATTTTTTCTGAACACTGCTCATAAAAGACAATCAATCTGAAACTTATTTGAACTGAAATGCGTTCAAAACAAAACTCTTAAATTATAAATTAAAAATGTTATTGAATCCACAATCCAACTACACAAGCAAACGTTTATAAGGCGTTTCATTAGAAGGATCTAGGTAAAATCTTGCATGTTTGCCATCGGATCTGCACCATTTTTGTAATAGCGGACAGAAGATGAATTTTAATGCCCCAAAATGAAATCTTGCATGCTCTAGCTTGCATATTTTTTATTACTATTAACGTCTAGTCAAGTATATCACCTTGAAGAACGTTGAGTGTTAAAATTTGTGCATGAGGTGATTAATGTTGAGCAAACACATCACATTAAGGAACATTTAAATGCCTTAAGGTCTCTGTGAGATCGTATAAATGCACAAAGAATCATGCGCTACAAGTATTAAACGCCCTCATGTGCTCAAACGTTGTCCGAAATAATTAAATGCAACGTCCGAGAATATTGT